GGCTTCCAGTGTATTGAGACAGACACCGGGTTGGTATCCCTCCGCCTTCGACTGGTATTGAGCGAGGACTTGGCTGTTCATGCTAAGATTTCCGTACTGCTGGGGATGACTCACTGATCCAGAGACATTGCAAGCTTTTTTCATCACTTCATACTGCTGGTAGAGTGTTTTCTTGTGGAGATTTGCCTTGTCTGTGTCGTACACCCACGCGTTGCCATATTGAGTTCCAACGAAAGAGAGGCGGAATTCATCCCAGCAGCACATATATCCTGACTCGTGGGTATTGGCGCAGGTGGTAGAGTAGATATTGATGTTTTTCGGGAGTATGCCCTCAAACATACTCCCCGAGTTGCAGGAATCCACATAAAGCACCATCTCCTTGTACCTATTCTCTCTGTGCATCTGCTTGAGGGCGTTGTTGAGGTCAGTGTTGTGCAGCTCAACAAAATCTGGGAAGTAGAAGACTCCTGGACCTCCGTGATCAACCATTGTAACGAACACGTGATCGTCAGGACCGCTGTCTACCACCTTACCCTCTCGACCAATCAGCTTCTTCACGCCCTCCTTGTCTCCTGTGAGAACTTTGAGGAAGACTTCCGGTGTCACTTCTTTCTTTCGGTAGTCCATTTTACATCCAGGGTAAAGGTTCGGCCCTTCAGGGACGTTGACGATGTTTCCTTGGACGGGATTCTCGGGGTCGTGAGCTAAGTCATCATAAGCCATGTGGACGATGTTCTCTGGGGGGATGCTGTTGTTTCGCATTGTGTGGTAGGCGTGGCACGAGACAGCCTGGGGGGGGAAGAAACAAAAGGTTTAAGATTAATATAGCAGTAGGGATACTGAGTACTTAAGTTGGATATGTTCATTCTCATAGAATCATTTACATTGAGAAAGTTTCAGTGGTGTAGTGGCTTATACTTTCAGTTAAATATTACTATAGCAGTAGGGATACTGAGTACTTAAGTTGTATAATGTTCGTGCTCAAAGAATCATTTATATTGAGAAAGTTTCCGAGGTGTAGGGGCTTATACATTCAGTTCACAACGGGTCCAATTATTTGAATCAGTTTGAACCAGATGAAAGCCTTGGTGGAATGGTGCTCCATGCACTCTATAACAGCAAAACGCAAAACTGGTATTTGTTTTTCACCTGTGCGTAACGACTCGGCCCATAGTGCACATGTTTCACGGTTTAGTTTTCAGAGAGAGAGAAAGAGAGAAAGAGAGAGAGAGAAAGAGAGACAGACAGACAGACAGACAGACAGACAGACAGACAGACAGACAGACAGACAGA